GCAACAACAAAAACCAAGAACACACAGAACTCTAAACACACAGATGTACACGCGTGTGTGAAAAAGCCAGGAATGGAGGTGCTTGTTTGCAGTCTCCTCTATTTTGAGAACAAACCGAGGGCCCTGGGACTGCCTAAAGACGAGCATGTTAGTGGACGTGGGGGTCTGTTTGATTTCTTTTCTTACCCCTCTGGATCCCCCGCTGAGCTACCAGCCCTTTCCCTCTCCCTTCCCTTTAAGACCATTCGCAACAGGAACACTCCCCGTTTTTGTAATCCCAGCAAAACACTTAAGGAGCACAGTAGGTGCTCATCAAAGCCATCTGCTCCAGGAGGAAAGCCGGTCGCTACTCCCGCTTGTGAATAGAATGAGGAGACTGTGAATTAATCTCTTCAATTAGCACTATTACAAACTGTCAAGTGGGATTATTACAGTAGTGGTCACCACTGCAATCCGAAACACTCCCTCACCCCAGCGAGGTACGTGCAAAGTGAAGTACACAAAGGCTATATATGTTTGATGCTGGGTTACTGAAAACGCAACAGAGGCAACATCAGGAACTGGATCAGGTCAAACGCTGTTATGATTCCAGCTATCATTAATGGGGAAATGAGGCTGAAACACTAGCTGATCTCAGTTAAGCCTCTGTTGATTCATTATGATTAAAGAGCTAACAACAAATCCATTAAAGACACTCTAGAAGATCAATGTGTCAGTTTTTATCTAAGTTTCTAAAATGAGCACAGTACAACTAGATCAAAATTTCCAAAACAATGCCCCAGTACAGTGACAGGGAACACTGTGCTGTAGGAGGCATTATCTTTTGGATAAGTTAGTTCAAGTAGGTACACACCCAAAGGCTTCTTCGCGCACTCCACAGCCGAAACGTTTTGTTTCTTTTCTTCTCTTTTCAGCATGGAATACACCTTTACTTGATCTTTTGGATAAGACATTAAACTGAGGTCCTCACTAAAGATCATGAAAAGATCATGGTACAGAATAGCTTTATTAACTCTGGTGTCTTGTCTGTATTCCACTGTGGGCTTGATTAAACTGGCCTTCCTGAAGTTCACCCTGTTATGAAGCGGGGTTGCTGGCACATAATGGCCAATGTAAGTCACTCAGATATGTGACCGATGGATCTGGCCCACCCTTTATAAGTGCTTTGTGTTGAAAAGCCAAATGAGGAACAGGTTCCTATAGGATGGAGTTATCTGTTCTCTTTTAGGGTCTATTACAACTGTGATAATGTACTAATGTACTCAAACATGGATTGTTTAAACAACACCTGAAACTTGATGGCTTGTGCTTCCTATTTGGGCGTAAAGCATGAACCCTGACTTTATGAAAGACTCAAAGACAGTGATCCCCATGAAAAGGAATTACATATATTAAAACAGCAACAGAATGTTTCCAAGACAATAATTTAGCGGAGGTGCAGATGTCTAAAACAGGCTTTACTCTATAGAAGTTTACAGTTCTCATATCAATTTCTAGACAGGACTAAGAAAACCCAATACATGTAATTATTTCAGAACAGGCACATCTTGTTAACACTCAAACTGGAGGCTTTTTTTACATCACCAACAAAAGCTCCTTCATGTAACAAGTGAGTGCAATTGACAACAGTTAATAGCTTTTATGCATGTTAACTCGCGAATCCTTGTTGGCCACGAACCTGGCAAAACAGCAGGTAAAGCTGAAAAAACACAATATATTTGGTTTACAAGACTCAATCTGCAGTTTGATTGCAGCCCTTTAATGGAGAAGCCGCACCAGAGAATCCTAAAAGTAATATTTCCACTGGGCCATACAATTAACCAGAAGCTACTTTTCTCTCAGGCACTGACAAAAAATATTTGCTGTACCAGAAAATAATTAAAGATGCTATTAATTTACACCTCTGATTATATTATAACTATTAAAAAGTACAAATTGCTTGTTTATAATGTGGACATACCAAAGCTCAATTCAATTGTAATTCTCAAGTCAGGCACATTTTTAAAGAAACTATGAAAATTTCACAGGGACTAGTCAATTAAAATCCAAACATTTACATTTGAAGCAGAAATAAAAACAAATGAGAAAGCTGGAGCCTTTTTTATCACAATCACTTACTTCCTAATTACAATGCTGAAAAGCTCTGGTAGATGAGTGGGGATTCAGCATTTCTTAATAGTCTGTCTTTACAGCATTAACACCACCACACAAGACCTTTCATGCTAGTATTTTTAGATACTTCCCTCCAACACAACCACACCTACTACTGGACAGCTGTCTAGGACAAATCATCTTATTCACGAGTGAGATAACCTACAATTTTAGAATTTTTTGTTACTATTTCACACAACAATGCATACATTCCATTATGAGGGAGACTGTCATGAGTAAGAATATAATAACTTTATTATCATGCCTGCTGCAAAAATAATGTGGAATTGGCTGTATATCTACTGTAGAAGCAAGCAGCACAGATCTTTCAAAATACTATGCTAAGATTGCTGCTATATGAAAAGCAGTATTTTGAGTATGGATACAGGAGAATCAATAGCAGAGGCAGCACATGAAGGATAAGGCAACCCCTTCCAGCCACAATAAATGAGAGAAAACCAAATGGGTTCTTTTAAACACAGCTGTCTCTTTTGTCTAATAATTAAATCCATTCATTTTAGGAACTTTACGATAACATAAGAGAGATAAGATCACTTTATTAGCCATATACAATTTCTTGCATTAGGAATTTTTTTTTCGCATACCCCAGCTTGCTCTCCATGAGACACACAGACAGGGAGAGAAACTTTGGGTCAGAGTGCAGGGTCAGCCATTGTACAGCACCCCTGGAGCAGTTGGGGTTAAGGGTCTTGCTCAGGAGCCCAACGGAGTAGGATACATCTGCCGGCTGTGGGATTTGAACTGGCAACCTTCCAGCAACAGGCCACAGATCGTTAGCCACAGAGCCACCAATCCGCCCTTTTTTAGGTTCACTCTTTGTTCCGGTGGCTACTTTGGGCATTTCCAAGACCTCATGAATCTTCTAGATCTCGTCTAGATCACCATCAAATAGACTTACAAAGTCATTCACAGATAACAAGGAGAACAGAAAATGACTTCATTTCAAACAACTGTATGTCTCCTATTCCTTGTTTACCAACAAAATAATACAGTGCTTAACACAGCTTCACAGTATAACATTTAAGCATGATAATTTACTAAGGAATACCTGTTTTTAGTGAGACCTCTCTTACTCATCTCACCATTACCCTTTATACCTGCATAAGAATTAAAACGGCTCCAAACAGACTATGATCAAGGTGATTTTTATCTTGTAATTTCCTGTTCTGGTGGGTACATAAACTCATACTTCCAACTTGGCAAAAAAAGCTCAAATTTGTCAAGGTGAAAAACAATATCAATAAATTTGTACTTTAGGGGGATATTCAATGGACTTTTTTAGGAAACAGGGAGGATTAGGTGCGTGTCAGACATGCTAGAACTTTCTAGAAGCTTGATGGGAAACCAACCCTGTTTAAAGCCAAGAGCAGGAATTAAAATGCCAGGCGCTCAGGGTGAGGTCAACTTGGTTACCCTCCAACCTCAGCGCTGGAGTCAAAGGGTTAATATGCTTCTGTCAATCCGAAGGGAGCTTGTTACATAGGAATAGAAAGAGTGCTCTAAATAATTGATGAAGTAATTTTGAATCCTTATGCATAGGATATCAGGGAAAAAAGTGGACCACACCAGGGGGCACATACAGTAAATGCTTCCAACTTGTCCACAAGGCCCCACCAACCCCCTCCCCCCACCGACAGGCTCACCAGCACCTCTCCAACTAACGACACTGTAATCTGCAAACAGATGCCTTGGGCTGAGCACCCATGAATATTTTATCAGCTCCCAAATCCAGTGTTTAATTTGAGCGAAGGAAATTAAGTCTCCTCTTCTCCAAATGCCAATTTGTCTGCAGATCAAACAGTATCTCGGCTATTAAGAAGCCTACTTTGTGTGTACTTGAAAGATATTAGAGGAAAAAAGGGGACAGGAAAAATGGGAGTCCTAGCAGAAGAATAATTCTCCCAATTATCGGAAGTGTGCTACAGTAACCGGCTCATTTACAGATTTCCGCATTGCAGAGTGCAAAGGCTGCAATGTGAGGAGCTGGGCAGTAAGTACTAGTTCACAGTGCTAGGGTGGGAGATGCTGAATTACAGTACCTGCACTCCACTCTAGGACACAGCGGTTTAATGAACCTGACCGATTTGACAGCTTTGGTAAAAGAAAACTAATCTCCAGAGTGAAATTGTGTGGATCATTGGACCAGTCAGTATCAAAGTGCAGAAGAGACTTTGAGCATTTTAGTGCTTAGGGGATATATTGGAAACTAAAAGGGCAAGCACTGAGACATAAATGGAAGTTGGCAGAACTGATGGATTAATGTACACTTGCTACAAGTTTGGGATCTTGAGCAAAAAAGAAAACTAGCCTGCATTGTGGAAGCCATCCTTACAACATAAACAACCTTACAAAAACAGTCTTGGAGCCAAAAGTTCATGTACTTTCTCCACTCCAACAATTAGAAAGTGTTTTCCACTATGTATCTCTAAAAGAACAAAATATGAAAATGTATCCTGATCTACATACAGACAGATCCAAGAACAAAAACTGATAGGATCAAGGCACAACACAACCTGTATGCCAGTTGGGATCAGAATCTATGCTCTTCAACTGTCCAGTCATATTCTGAATTTCTTCCATTGAAAAAAAGATTATCTTCTGCGACTCTCGTCTTCAGGCCCCGCGCGATTCAACAGCAGGCCTCCTGACATGTGCATGGATCACATTCATTTTGGACAGGGTCCTTTATCACAGTTTGATCAGCAGAGCTCTTTTAAGGGGAGGAACAGGGGAAAAAAGATGCATTTTTTTCCTCCCAGACGCTTCCCATAAATAGCAAACACAGAAATAAGAGAAGAGCGAGATGGGCTTGTGGCTCTGTTACTCACCTCCTGGATGGTTTTGGATCCTGGGAAGTTGAGGCTGTAATCCCGCTGGGCTTCACGATGGCTGATGATGAGCAGGAAGTTCTGATTTAATGATTCCTGCAGGGCGCTGAAGGAGGAGAAGCAGGATGAGAGAAGAACACGTTAAAAAAAAAAAGAAAGTTGGAGGTGAGCATGTTACAACTTGTACCACAGTTAGCAGTGTGGCTAGGTTGCTGCCCTTGGGACACCCCTCTCCCCAACAACTGCCTCTGCTTAGGCAAGCCCAGGCAGCCCTGCTGCTCTCATACTAACTACGCACCACTGGGCTCATAGTGACCACCAGAGTAAGCAGTCAATTTCCACTGACACCAGCAAACTTGTCCACTGTACTGGCACAGGAAAAAGGCTTTGAAAGAATGAGGTCACATGAGCGGTCTTGGTTGGTTTTCCATCACATAAGCTGCAGAAACCTAGGTTTATTTATTCAATGGCTTTTTGTCCCACGTGACAATCACTTGATTAATTGTGATAATTTACCCATACATGTTAATGAGTTTGTATTTTATCCAAAGTGACTAATGTGAGTATTAGACTCAGCTAGAATTTGACTAAACTCTGAAACCTAATTTACAGTTTGACCCAGCACCCTTCATGAACTGCAAGACCAGTTTGTGGGATGTTTTCTTCTTGTGATACCAGGATGTTTTCAGTAGTTCACAAAAAGCCTGTTCCTCAAACACATAAATGCTGCCTGACTTTGTCTGGTCTTTTGTCACAAAGGCACATGTTAATATACAGAACACAGACAAAAGATTTATAACAACACTAGGGGCTGGTCTTGCTGTCTAGCTTAGTCCCTGGACTCTTAACTGGTAGGTTATGGGTTCAAGTCCCCACTGCACACTGGTTGTCTTAGCTTGAGAGAGGTTTTATATCCCTTGGCACTAAATCTCCCAAATGTTACATCTAGAGCCAGCTGAATCTGGTTTTGTGACTGACCTAAAGCAAATACTACTGATGGGTTTGATTTCCCAAATCTACAACTTCAGCTAAGCTGAACAGTTTCAATTGTCTTGGTTTTCTTAAATAATATCAAAAACAATGACAATAACAAATCAAAGCAATGCCAGCAGCCATATCACTCTGCAACTCACAACTGGCAACCCACTGAAGCTCAGCAGGTGTGAGCCTGGTCAGTACCTGGACAGGAGACCTCCTGGGAAAAACTAAGGTTGCTGCTGGAAGAGGTTTAGTGGGGCCAGTAGTGAGTGCTCACCCTTCAGTCTGTGTGGGTCCTAATGCCCTAGTATAGTGACGGGGTAACTATACTATAAAAAGTGCCGTCCTTCGGATGAGACGTCAAACCGTGGGTCTAAAAATCCCAGGGTGTGTAACCCCGGCACCCGGGCCAAACTTCCCATTGGCCTTTACCAATCACAGCCTCCTAAAAATTCCTATCTATGAATTGGCTTCATTACTCCGCTCTCCTCCCCACTGATAGCTGGTGTGTGGTGAGTGTACTGGAGAACTATGGCTGTCGCAGCATCATCGAGGTGGATGATGCACATTCGTGGTGGTGGTGGTAGAGGGGGGTCCTCTTTAGCTCTGAAGCACTTTGAGTGGAGTGTACAGAAAAGTGCTATATAAGTGCAAAAGTATTATTATTAATAATTAATATTATTAATAGGCCAAAGTGAGCAAACTTGCTCCATAAGAAAATATTTAAAAAAAAACTATTAGGGCAGAAAGCGTTTCTGTATTTTCTTGAAGTCGCCTACCTATATAGTCCACTAATTTAGTCGAAGCCTTTACTCAAAGTGACTTATGACTTATAAAATGTACACAGAGGACAGAGGCTGATGTACTGTATCATGAGGCAAAGCAGTACATGTGGCTGGATTTCAGTGGGCTGGTTTCAGGAATGGTAACAACTGAGAAACAATAATGGAGGCACTAGTGTAGCTCATTTGGAAATGGGGGAAGTGTAACCGTTCTACGCTGTTAGATCACTTCACACAGAAACCTGATACACAGATATTTCCCAAATTCTGTGATGCTTAAGCCTTGCAGGATAAAGGTGTTCAGATAAACAAATGTTTGGTAAATGTTTTGTCAATGTGTCTGAATGTGGAACGAAGCTCGGCTAGCGCGAGCATCTAATCCGAGCTAAAAAAACTCAAAGAAAAAAAATGAAGAAGTTGGAATTAATATGTACCACACACAATAATTATGCAATCATGTCCTTAAGCTGGGAGATTTAGACAAGCTTATGTTAACAGAAGCCCAAATTTACTGTAATGACAGCATATTTACACTGAATAAAACTACGAAATCAATATGTAAATGTAATGTTTGTTGTAGCTAACACAGAAAATTGGAAATGTGAGCAGCTAGGCAATGCAGTGGGGAGGGGAAAAGATGAGACAGATGATATATCAGAGACAGGGGGATTCACGGATAAGACAAAACTAATAGCAATGTTATTTTGGGGTAGCTGGGAAGCCTGCCTGCCCTCAAATAGATATTACATTTGATGGCAATAGCTGGACAACCAAAAAACTAAACCCCACCTAAATCCCTACATTAGCGCTTTAACAGCCAAGTTAAAACTGTTAAGGATGAACATTTTAAAAAGTCAAACCTGACAAAATGACAAACCATCCAGTTTTACAATGAAAACACCCATCAGCTTAACCCATGACCATAAAAATGTGGATGTGGTCAAAGGACATCTATAATTCAACCAATGAGAATACATACAAGCATGCAAGCTCAGTAACAGAGTGAAAAGTGAAAATATTGATGATCTGAGGAATTGTTTAGTACACACTTTGCTTGGGCCCTGTAAAAGTCATCTGCTAGTGTACAGGATCAGGCCTTGGAAACCCCTTCATGGCCCAGAGCACGTGACTGTACAGCTCTGAGAGATGCAGAGCTGAACATGTTGTGGAGCTCAGTTGGGCATACAGTAGTTCCTTTTTGTTAAGACAGCAGGCAGATGAAAGCAGTCAGGCAGTGTCAAGTGAAGATGACTGAAAGAATCTGTGACATTCCCTGCTGGCTGGACATGAGAATATGTGTTCTGTGCTTGTGTTTAAAAAAATTCCTATACCCTTTGTGCAATATTACAGTGTGTGTGTAAATGTATGTTGTATCCTTGTCTTGACATGTGCAGTATGTAACACAAGAAGTTGAGTGGTGCTGTGCTTGGATTATAAAAAGCCCTAAAAAATGTGTTTTAAAGCAGACAGACCTTGAGTTTATTTATTCAGGATGGCCACCCAAATAAACTTAGCTCACAATTACACTGAACTGCACTATGACCTCTTGCATCCCTACAGTTTGAATTCTCTAGTCCAACAAGCTTCATGTAAAAAACAGAGTTGTCACATTTTTCCTTTATGGTGTTAAAGGCTAAGAGTTCAAGACTTAATCACAGACTTGTCAATCTTTTTTATGTACAAGGCCCTATGCTTATCCTACTGAGCAGGATCTGTAAGGGTTTTCGGTCCTGAAAGACTTCTGATCCACAACTAACACTGCCAGTCACCCGTCAGCCAGCTGAAGAATTTCTTAAAAGGACTGATTTTAAGAAGATCGGTGCTATCACTGATTCCAAAAATCACATTACCGATGAATAAGTGAGATATAACAGAGGGGTTTTATCCTCTATAAGGAATATAAGCATTTATGAAGATGAGTAAAGATGGATACCTCCAGATGTAGAGGAATGTCTTGCATGACAAGCTAAAAGGAAGTAAGTGTTTAATAGAGAATACAGAGAGGACCTGATTCAAGTATTCAAAATCTTCAATGACAGTCACTGATAAACTTCCTCAGGTTTATCAGTGAAACCAAACCAGAAATCCCACAAGTATAAAAAAAGAAAAATGCAGTTCAGACAGGAAATGGGAGACTCTTCTTTACACAAAAAGACATAGGTGTGTGGAAAAAGCAACCATGTAATATTATCAAAAGGTGATACCCCAGCTTTTTTTTAGAATCATATGCACGAAAGTCTCAATCTGATCATCTGCTAGCACCCAAACAAGATAGATTGGGTTTAATGGCCTCCTCTGTTTTTTTTCAAAAGGTTTATCCAGGAACATTTATTTTTTGACCATACCATGTCTACTAGTGACTTCTAAACTTTAAAAGATATTTAGTAAAAGGACACTCTAGAAAGCACCCAAACAGCCATTTTGACAGCTCAATGTTTTTGCTCTAACCCACGCCTTTTGCTCAATAAGTGTCCCAGATCAAGCAGGTTCTCTTATGTTAGCTTGCTGTTCTCTCTTGAGCTCAATTAGCAGACCTGGTTTTTACTGCTTAGTCTAGCGAGAGTCAGACAAAGGTGGCTGTGAAAGACGCTGTACAACGGTATTCCTATTGAGATCACAGATTCCAAAAAGATGAATTAAATACTAAAAGTGTAATGAGTCATCTGTATTCAAACACGGGTTCAAATTCCTGGACACAGTGAAAGACGCGATGGATGCATATTTAAATTATTCATCGCCTTACATTATTTATGCAAAGATTAACGTTTTCCACATATCTTGTCATATAAAGGAATCTGTAAATACAGCAATTTAAAAGACAGTTTGGTTTTCAAGTGGATTTCTGTAACTACCTTTGAAGGAGGATTCGTTCACAGTCTCAAAAGCCACCAATTTATTCATGATCAAACAGAGGATTTAAAAGGGTAGGCACTGAGGATTGCGAAACAATCTGATTAGTCTATTTGATTTAGGCACGTGAAATTTGATTTGCGGTAATTGCATGCAATGTCATTTATTTGTTGAGCTATGTTGCATTTTCAAATGATGCTCTCAATTATACTAAGGACCTCATTCTGATGTGCCCAGAAAGACAAATACAAAGCTGAAATACTACTTTCCAACACATGGCCTTTCTACTGAAAGCTAAACTTTTTATACAATCTGATTAATGGCTACACAGATCTGGCTATGAATCATTTAGGCACGGTAGCCTTTATTTCTACATCATGTCAAAGTGAAATTCAGACAGTTCTGAAAAACTACATACCTGGTACTACTGGTAAACGTTCCTCTAACCAATTTTTTGTGTAACGGAAAAAATAAGATTTAAATCATGTGGATGAAA